GTCATATCAGCTCGACTTGACTAAGAAAATATAACATAACATATATATTTCATAAAATATTTTCTGCTTTCTTTTCTCTTGTAAAGTTTACTGCTGAAATCCTGTAGGATAATTGCACTATTGTAATTTCTTGCTATACTGCTAGCTTGCTTTTTATATACAGTAATGTTTTTGGGTGTAGCCAAAGTGTTTTTATGTTTTCTAATGTACTATAAGCTTGCTTTTTATATACAGTAAGGTTTTCTGCTATAGCGGAAGTGCTTTTGTAAGGTGCCGATAGCTTACTTTAAAGGTTACATGACTAAATACATTAACATTTTTCTCTCTGAGTATATCCACGAAGTTAAGCAACGTCGAGCCTGTCAGGTACCTAGATGAGTGACCGCTTGGGAATACCAGATGCTGTAAGCTTGTGCGGGTGGTGTAATGGATAATGGCTCGAAATTGTTAATCGGAAGAGCCGAGATCCCATTACGTTTGTTATATTCACTTACGTGCAAATACCATTAGGAACGGTATGGATCCACCTCTTTTTCACCCAGATATGGGTTAATTCAGTTATGTGCCATGCGTGACACACGCCTATGCTATCATGTATCTTTCAGATTTATTTTCCCGCAGTAGGCTTCTATTTCATTCTACGGTAGACCAGTTGCCATCCAAGGCTATAGAACCCGGTCTGTCCTGTTAGTTACCCCTGGCTGGGTGGGGGGAAGACGGGGATTCATATCTTTCCCAAGGGTATTAGCATGTAAATGAATGTAATGGATTCGAATGCAATTCGAACTCGGCTCTGCGATTCCTTAATCCGTGCCGCTATCCATTACTCCACCGTGCTTCCTATTAAGTTAGGTATGTGCCATGCGTGATACACACTTGGGCGATCATGTATATTTCGATACATGACTGACGAGGCAGGTTTTTTTTTCCTGCAGAAATTTTCCATTTCTTTCTACGGTAGACCAGTTGCCATCCAAGGGTATAGAACCCGGTCCGTCCTGCTATTTACCCATAGCTGGAGTGAGAAGAGGATTCATACCTTTCCGAAGGGTATTAGCACGTAAGTAAATGTAAAGGATTCGACTGGAATTCGAACTCGGCTTTCCGATTCCTCGATAAGAGCCACTATCCATTACTCCACAGTAAGACTGTTGAAATAGGGGTGCGTCTGATATCCAGTTGAAAGATGGGTGCGTATAATATACCCGTGCGTCTTTTAGGTCGTCAAGTACGATAACTTAACTACATATGAGAAAAGCAGACGTCTTTTTAATATTTCAAGCTGCTGTTGACTGGATAAAATCTAGTGGGGGTCAGGAGGGGGCTTGTGGACTGTAAGTTTCATATCAATTCTCACAATGACAAAAGCAACAAATTTTATTTCAGTTAAGAGGATGGTTACCCAATACTGTTCGTATACTAACTGTCAACGTTTCAGCAGGCCTGTCGCAAGAGGAGAGGGGAGGGGCTGGAATCCAACCCCCATAAAATCATTTGCTATCCCCACTGTGAAAATGATGCGTGTGCAAATCCTTACTCGCGTCCCCGTTGACTGAAAAGGCCGGCCACTCTATCTTAAAACAGAGGCGACGGGACCGCGTTTCAGCCGATCTGTTCTTCAACCCTCGTCAGGTGTATTTCGCGAAGCGGGGAAATCAACAACTAAGAAGCTTCTTTCTTCAATAGATTCAGTTATCCGAAAAAATAATTAGCTGTGTTCATGTTCCAGACGTAGATAGAATTTAGTATCACAAGTTTTTTTTTTTTTTGTTTTTTTATCATTTCACTCCAAGCAAGGTGATAATGCCACTAAGACGCAAGGGGTTACTGAGAGGGAAACAAAGGAAAAAACTCTACTCCCGTTCAAAAGACCGGGAAGGAACTTGAAAAGTATTAGAAAGGTTAAAAAATTATGTTGAAGCCAAGTGTTATAATTTATTAATCAATTAAAACTGGTCGATCAATTTTAAATTATTAATTTCTGTCTAAATGTCTGGGATGAAGAGTCCGTTGTGTGTGTATCTTTGTTCTAGGCCTCTGAAATTTATTTTATGTGCCGTGTCTCTTCAGGACGTGCGCAATCACGGCTCTCCACAAGTTCCTATATTTTTCTGTCTGAATTTCTGGGATGAAGAGTTATCATCTTTATTGTCATTATCACAACGTTTCGGTCGTTGTTCCCGTCAGCCTTCATCAGATGCTTTGTCAGGTAACCTTCAGAGAAATTCAAACTGAGCCCTTTCTCGTTCCGCTGTCATTGTCTAGGGATATCTCGTTTTGATCTTATTTAGTATTGCTCAGTTATGGGGTCGCCCTCATTCTACTGAGACTAAGTCTGAAGTGCCTGAACCAGAGATCGAACCCACCGTTACTATGTCACCAGATTGTTAATTTGAAATTTAGGTGTGCACAGAATTTTGCAACAAATAACTAGTTTCTAACTGCGTACATTTCTAAATAAATATAATAATTTTTTTTAAATAAGAGTCCTGTCCGGATTAGAGGGTTACAAGTTTATTGCACCTTTCTAATCCGGTAAATCTGATGGTCCGCTGTGTTTTGAATCTGCTTCTATTAGTTCGCAGGTCTGCTGCTGGAGTATTTCGATTCGGTTTCAATCCGTAATTTGAACCGTATTTTTAATACCAATATAGAAGACGCTTTAAAAAAAACAGTGGTACTCATCGTGGTCCTTTCGGCCCAAAAGTAGGCCTGAGAAATATTTTAAAATGGGGTCTGGAGGTGCAGATTGAAATGAGAGGAGACTGACGCCTGGAGCTGAGCCAAGGCTTGGAAGTTCAACTTGACAAGCTGATAGGTAGACGTCAGGAACAGTGTAGTCATTAATCAGGATTTATATTTTGTTACATTTTGCTTTTATAAATAAAATCTATTTATTATATTGAATTTCTGTTTGTGCGTATGTGGGTCTGATTTGATTTGTTTTTTTTCTTACCCCAAAATTGCGTCACAACGAAGAAACAGTTGAGAAATACTGTTTTGAATAAAATGCATAACGCGTAACTGTATTTTGAAGCTGAAGCGAAAAGTAATATAACCATTTTTCAAAGTACACGAACTAAGTGTTTAATCAAGATATTATTAAAATATTGCTTATTTAATTACTCTAAATTAAATACGATTTATTTTAAAAGATATATTCTTTTTCTATGCACCTTGCCTATCCCGTACATAGATCATGTCTCCCCACAACTTCCCATCTCTCTGTAACATTTGGCATTACTATTCCTTTTTGTCGCCGCTTTCCACTTAAACTTATCAATAGGTTACTTAATGTTTTCCTCTGCTCTTACGTCTATTCAGCGTGGCTTATGAGTGTCAAATTTTCCAAGCCCTCTTTCTTCATAATGTGCCACAGAATTTACTCGTTGCTCCTGTGTTTCCTCGATAAATAAATTAAAATATTTCTATTGTTTTCCTACCCACAAGATGAAGGTATAACTTTTTTTCTATGATTTTTCTTGCCCTAACAAAGCGTACTTTATGACTTTTCTTCCATTAATTTTTTTTTTTTTTAACTTTTTTTCTCTTATAACTACTTTTTTATTATTTCATTGAGAGTGGGTTCTTCATCTAGTTTAATAAAGTCAAAACGTTTCAACCATTGTACCGTCACGACTTCCTCAGGTAGCTATTGTGGATAGGGACTAATCTTCTGTGAATTTCGAACAGGAATATTCGTACAGCGGAACGAGAAGAACCTACACTCGTGGATCGAATGAAGGATTCAACTACAACCGACAACTGATGAAGGACTGAATATACAACGATCGAAACGTTGTGACGTAACTATAACAATCAAGATAAGGAGACTAGGGCAGGGTATATCAGTGTGGATAATAATGGTGATAATTCGTCATCTCTGAAATTCAGGGAAGAATATTTTTGCCCTGCGACGAAAGTGTCGTTTGATCGTGTACTTTTAAGTTGCGACCAGATGCACTAGTGACTGCTAGTAAATTTCTAATCGAAGTGTGTGTGAGTTTTCTTTTTTTTTTTTATTACTTATTCCTCTTTTTCTCACCGCATCAGCAGCAACGTAGTTCGTCGTACAACGACAAAAGCTACAAGTAAGCCTCCAGTTTTACTCGACTTGAAAGATAGTAGTAGTAGTAATAGTAGTAGTAGTAGTAGTAGCGATGGATCCCCCACATCGGCATCAGTTTAATGCTTGGTATAGCATTTTTAAAGGCGCGAACACACGCACACACAACGTACTAACAAGTACAGTTAAATGAAATGACAGTGATGGTTAACAAAGCAAGTGAGGTAGACAGAGTAATGAGAGCATTAGAGAAGGAGAGATAAGTGGAGAGTGCGAGAGAGAGAGAGAGGGGAGGGGGAAAATTTATTCGGATGTGTGGTTGGATGTATAATAGCACACGGTCTGCTATCGGAGGCACCTCAGGAATTGTCGTTGTGGATAAGCGACGGACAAGAAGCATTGTTGTGGTTGAATCGACACACCTTGTTCGGATGCGATCCACTATGGGAGAAAAAGGGTACACAAATAGAAACACCATAGCACTCCCATTCGACCCTGTAATGGACGATGTTAGTGCTATCTTTGCTTCTAACAGCCATAGTGCACGCTGTACGTACAACGGTGCTGTAATAATCAGTGAAACGAATTGTAATCAACAACATCTTCATATTATGTCTATCTTAGATTTACTACTGTTACAAGGCTAATCAGCATATATACACCTGCCGCTTCGGCAGTCACAACTTTACTATAATGAACTGTTACAATGTGGAATCTTAAGAAAACTATAACAAACGAATATTGTATCTGGTTGTATAAAGACAGACAGTGTGAGAAGTGAGACTTAAAAAAAAAAAAAAAAAAAAAAAAAGGTAAAAAGAAAGAAAGAAAAAGCTTTTTCTGTCTTTTTCTACTTCTTCTTCGTCTTTATGAGACTAGCAATTGTGATTCGACCGTGGTCAGCAAACCCGGACAAGACGGCGTACCCTGGAGCATGTATGTTCTGAACAGAGGTGAGAAAGATGCAAATAGTATTTGTTGCTCCCCTTACTGACACCGCTACCCTCAGCCCCACTGTCCCTTCCTCTCTGGACCCACCCTGAGTTTCCGCCGTTTTTCTTTGCGTATTAATTTGTTTTGCCATAAGCCAAATTTATCTCAAACTTTAATTGTCACTTTTAAAACATGTCCATGTTTTTTTTTGTTTTTTTTTGTTTTTTTTTAGGTCCGTTGTGCAAAAAGGTTGTGGAGGGGGCAATGGGGGGAGGAGTTTCATTTCTCGTCATACTTGTTGATCAATAATAACCCTTTTTATTTTTTTCTTAAAGGGCATGTCTCTTCAAGACATAAGCGATTATGACTCTCCATAGATTCCTTTCTTCAGGTATTATTATCTGTGAAATAAATGCCATGCCTTTTTGGGAAAGATAGAGTAGTTTCCCGTTGCCTTCATAAAGGGTAAATTTAGAGACTTTATTCTTCTCTTAGACTGAATGTCAATCAAGGCTAGAGAGGCCAGCCTACCCTGTCATTTAACTCCCGAGAAGGAATTTTTTATCGACTTTTAAAGTTATTTATTGTTAACTTTTCATGTACTTTAACTTAAGAATATCGCTTGAAAGTACATCGGAAATTCTTTCTCGCTATGTCAAAAACAAAAGCCCGCACATTAGTTTTTTTTTTTTAATACAATTTCTCCATGTCTAATCCGTTGTTTATAAATTATAAGGATGTTTTTTTTTTTTTTTTTTTTTTTTAATAATAATACACGGGCGTTACAGATTTCTGTCTTTTAGAATTAAAACCTCTCGGGAAAAAAGATCAATCTTTTGCTACGCGATTATGTAATGCGCACGTTGTTTGTTTATATATCCAAGTGTAAACGAACGAAGAATAAAATTTCAACATTCAAAACATTAATTTAAAACAGGGCCCAATACAAAAGTAGAGCAATAAATATTTATCTATTTATTATGCACTGTTATATTAGAACATGTAAATATCCGCCTTTTACATGTTCTAATTTAACACTGACAGTGTGTATGTATATATATATATTATATAATATGAAAAGATATTCTTAAATTTGATTAACTAGGATCGGGCACTTTAAGTTTTTATATATAAATATAAAAGTGGACACTGAGGTCAATACCGAGTGGCGATAGTCTGTTTCATGCTTGAACACAATCTTCATGCCATCAATATAGCATACCTTTTTAAAACTATATTTTTATTATATTATATATATATATATATATATATATATATATATAATTATATATATATAATTAATTGTGGTAGTTGTTTTAGTTTAAGTGTTACAAGTAAGTAAAAAAAAAAAAAAAAAACGTAACTAAAAATAAGGAAAGGCCTGTTATTTCCAAGCTATCGTTATGTCTTAAGTCGGCAAAAAGATAACTCTGCTTTTATTTTACATTGCTACTACTGTTATATGGATTGTAGTTGCTTCTTGATTGTGTATGCAATGTAAACGATTAAAAAAAGAAAAAAAAAAGTAAAGAAATAGACAAAGAAAGAGTACAACGCACCGTAGAATCTTATGAATGCTTTTTGTTCGTACTCTTATATTTGTGTGTGTGTGTTATGGTCTTTCCGGGGAGGGTGTTAAGGACGAGGCCACTTCTGACAATATCCTGGATACAGTTGAAGATTTGAAATATGTAAGCACATTTCACAGCCACCAACCAAACGGTTATGTTCGTACTACTAATAGTACAACGAAATTCGCACTTGTGGACCTTCTCCCCCACACCTCCAATGTTCATTCAAATAAAATAAATAAAGTAGGGAAAGACAAGAGTGCGACAGTTTTTTTTTATGATCGTATGACGTTTTAAATTAAATTTTGTGATATTAAATTTTAAAACAGTGTATTACGGAAATACAATTGGTAATGAATAACTAAATTAATAAATAATATTAAAAAAATACCCCCACAAAAAAAAAAAAAATAAACAAAATCATTATTAACAAAACAAAAGATAGCAAGAAGGGTAGTTCAGTCATGTGTAGTAAGTAAATGTTTTTTTTCGTCTTCATCACTGTAATCGATATAAAGTCGAAAAGCAATTTTTCTATTTTTATTCAATAGCTATTGAGTGCAAATCAGAGTGATAATAATTTTAAAAAAAATATGCATATTTTTGTATATTTATTTTTATTTGATTAAATTAAATAATATGAATGGCTGGTCTTAATGTGGTCACGCAGAAGAGAGACTGGCATGGCCAGAATGGTTAACTTTTTACATCTACTTACAATGAATATTTCAAATCAGTACTTATCAATTCGCAAGATAATGGTCGAAAGAAAAAGGAAAAAAAAAAAGAGATAACAACATTTAGAAACTATTTTGGCTATGAGTATAATAAGAGCATTTCTAAGATTTTTTGAGGCTACAAAAGAAAAGTCTGGTTTGTTTTATGTATATTTCATTTTCTATAAAGTATAAAGACACATATTGTTTCTATCACTGCTTTTGTTTGTACACCTGTTTTTGTCCTATTTCTGTCTGGTGTGTTGCCCCCCCCCTATATATATATATATATATATATATATATATATATATATATATATAATCGTGAACATACGTAAATACAATAATTTTTTATGTTTTCTTTTTGTAGGTGGACGCCGGAAACATGGAGGATGCAAATGGTTTAATGTGGCTCAAGGTTGGGGATTTATTACCCCTGATGACAAATCCCAGGATGTTTTTGTACATCAGGTAAGTTCCTTTCGTTTATTAAACAGACAAGTTTGCCGCTAACAATCTTACCTGTATTGTCATTAGTCATTAATGTGTCCTGCTTTGTAACATTTTTTTTTATAAACGATGGTTTCGGCGTGAGACGAACTCTAAACTGCAACAATTTCGCTTTTGAAATTCTCCGTATAAATCCACCACATAAAATATCTCATTTCTAAAATAAAGAATATAAAAAAAAATCCCTATCAGACGCCTTTCCGTAGAGCAATGGTTAACATTAACCATGTGTAAGACTACATATTACTATCAGAATGAGTTCAAACCTCATCATTCCACATTGTTCCGTAGTAAGTTAGCAAGTTAACCTAGTCGACCATTGGTATTGTATGTTTGATCTTCAATTGGTGTTCTATAAATATAGCCTTGTGTCAGACGAATCTCAATTTGAAAAAAAAAGGTAGTATTCCACTGTTGCTTGTCCTTACATTGTTCTTATTTTGTGTTTGCGATTTTTAAAATTTGAACTTTTTACTCAACCAGGCGCACATGTGAAGCACGCACATCCTTAGATATATATCTATATACATTAGACGCTAAAAACCTTAAAATTAAAAGTGAAGTATCCCTGTATCTTTAGCGTTTTTTCGATGTAGAATTGTAATCCACGTTTGTTGTATTTCGTTTCCACTCTACATATACCATATAGACTCGATTATAGGGTAAGTTCTTATGATCAGTTCTTTTACGCAAAAAAAAAAAAAAAATAGGCGGTTGCACTATATGCAGTTATATATATATATATATATATATATATATATATATATATATATATATATATATATATATATAATTGGTTAAAAATCCTTCATTTTTAGTTTCACCATAGACAAATAAATTCTTTTTGTGGGGAGGGTTAAAATTCATGCAATTAAATTCAGGGGTCGCACTATACATGAAATTGTCTTATACAAGAATAAACGGTACATGATTCCATCGATAAAAGCATTATTTAGACTGAAGAAGTCCTTTCAAAGGATGAAACCCGTTACAAAGAATTTTTTTCCATTTTGTTATCCAGTTGCCCATGTCAGGGCCGATGCCTACCAACCCCGAACTTTTGCAGATTTTGATGTCACCTTAGGGTCTTTTTTGTACAAATCTGTGAATTTGTTTTGCTCATGCTGAAAAAAAAAAAAAACACTGTATAAAGTTCACTATTTTTTTATCCATAATTTTTAATGTGTTCAAATTATTTAACTTTTTAACAAGAAAAATCTCAAGTTGATATTAAAAATTGCCGCATAACATTGTTGATGTATTTAAGATGGGATGATCTATTATGACATGTCTCTAATTTGTATTTAGATACATTGTATTTATTTTCAATTTTTCTAGTTGAATTGTTCACCTATATTGCATATGATCCATTATTGTACATAATTAGGTTACAATAAAATTTGTATTTTATATAAATACTACTTCATGAAAATTGAGATGTTAGAGGGGAGGCACGTATCATAGATTCGGGACAGTGCCCATATCATAAATTCGGTGGGGGCTCACAAAACCCTTTCACCGGCCCTGGCTCACATACACACACACACACACACACACACATATATATATATATATATATATAAATGCGGTGAAAAATCTACCAGTTCAAGGATGTTTCATGCTGATCATCTTCTGCCTTGGGGCAATGGTTATCCTTAGCCCTTACTATTACAGAGTTTGATACTCCCTGAATGCTCTATATTAATAGTCTTGTGCCAGACTAAGTTAAGTAAATATGATGATTTGTTAATGTTTAATAAACATGCTAGAATGAGTACATAGCTGGGATGCCTCGCCATAGCGCAAAAGTTAGCAAGTGGACCGAGATCATTATTAGTCTTCTAAATTTCATATTTTGGCCTTGTGCCAGACTGAGCTAAGCTTAAACAGTATATCTATTGTCAGAGTTGTAGTAAGTGCGAGCAAGGTGGCAGTCGCCTCCGGGCGCATATAAAAAGAAAGGAACGCTGGTTATTTGGCAAGAAAAGTTCATCTATAGCTTAATGTAGCCATTAATACCAATTTTGTAAAAATAATAAAAAAAATATCCCCACCCCACCCCAAAAAAAATAAATAAAATAATAAAAATGTAAATCTATAGGTGAATTTTTCAGCGCCCCCACGTCGCTGCCGAATGTGACACAAGGTCGGGGTTTAAAGTGGGTTTTCCGGCAATCCCGTGTGAGGGGGGGGAAATTGCTCAAGCCATCTCGACACATCGTCTTTTGGGAACATCTCTCTATTTATCAACCTCTCCACGTTGGGCGTTCCGAGCCTGTAGGCTCGGGCAAAAATTGCCCGTAGACTCCGTATACACGGGGTCGAGTTTGTCTACCTCCCCATACGAGAATCTGCCCTTCGGTATAACTTCGTCTGGGTTCCTCTCCACTCAGAGGCAGAGAATTCCACAAGAGACGAAGAGAAAGTCTTTTGAGGACACCTCAAGCACCAGGTTATATCACCCCCCCCCTCTCCAAAAAAATGTAAATACAATGTCAATCGTTATCTTCTGTCGTCTTAATTCTTATTAGTAGTTTTTCTCATTCCCTAACAGTAACATCTAGTGGCTTTATTGCGTTGCTTGGGGAGAAATGATTAAAAACAAAATCAATTTTGGGAGCCCTTTTTACGTAACAATACCGCCGAAAGGTACATTAATTCTTTTCTATTGTGTTTCTGGGTTCGAGCAGTTCACAGAAAAAACAATATGGAAAGTCTCATTCTGTGGATTTCAACAGCATTGTTCTAAAGGATTGGTCAGCCTTTCCTCGCAACAATATCAATAAAAGGTACACGTCAGCATACAGTAATTATTCTCAAGCTAATCTCGGTGTCTTTTCAAACATCTCCTTTCCAAAAGCCGCTGCTTTGTAGTACAGATTCCCGAGTGGATGCTTTCTCGGCGATTATAATATTAACCTCTTTAACTCTAAGGACAACCATTACCTATCCAAGCTCTGCTCCTAATCTGCACTTTATACCTCCTCCACTTACATCCATAAAAATCTTCATTTAGTAACCCTTTATCTTGAGTAGATCTTAGGCCTTGTATTGGGTGAAAAATAGTGTTAAATAAAAACAATAAATTTACTTAGTTTTCTGACTGGGATCAAAGTGTAATATTTGTTCTTTTCCATTGTTTCTTGTTTTGGGCCGTTCACAGAAAAAAAAAACAATGAGCAAAGCCACATCTTGTGGATTCCAATCCTACAACAACATCAGCCACCATTGCTCTAAAGAATTGGTAACCCTTTCCTTGTAACAATAGCCACAAAAGATACACTTTGTCGGAGAGTAATAGTCCTCGAGCTAAGCTGTGATTTTGATTATCCCTAGATTCCCTAAATTTGTAACCTTGTATCTGACTAAAGTTAGATTGGTAGATTTTTATCCGTGCGTCCGCATCATAAAATGGGAGACAAGGTAGGAATTTAATGTGGAATTTCCAGAAAGCCGTTCAAAAGTTACTACAGACCCCCCCCCTCGGCACCTCATTTGGGGACGTCAATGGCGTCAGCTAATGACATCAGCATTTTTCTGAAGGAGAGGTATTGCCGGTTGGGGCGACTCCTGGGGCGGTGCGGACCCCTTGGTGCTTGAGCTAATATAAATCTTAAACTATCCTGGCTGATGCCAGAGAAGTATAAGTTAGATGAGTAAATACCAAATGGGTCTGCTTGCCGGTTAAATAATTGCATATAATCCACTGGTACCAGTGGTTGGTGTTCAATCCCAGCTAAAAGCAAGATTTCAAATGCTGATTTAACAGGATCTAGGCAAGTTTATAAGAAAACAATCTTCCTGTCCTCATATTATGGTTCATTTCAGATATAATAAACAAGTCTTTGGAAGATTTTTTATTTGTTTACCCGACTTCTCCATGAAGGTGGGTTGTTACACAAGGTCTTTTATATATATATGGGGGTGATGTGGGGCAAGTACAAAAATTGTCCAGTCCAACTGTTATGCTGGTGTTGATATTACACTGACCTTAGTGAAATAAGAGAGGTGCTGCCACTGGGTTGAAATCCCCAGGACCAAGCACCTTCTTTTTTGAAAAATGAAGAATACTACACATTTATGATTTTGGCCTATATGTATACATATCGTAATATCAAGCGGGCTAATTTTAAAAGTGAGATGCTTTGGACATCAAGATTTAAATGCTGAGCATCCTTGTATCTTTAACGTTTCGATGTAAACTGTCACTGCTTTTTGATGTATTTCGCTTTAACCGTTTTTTGTTTTTTTTTACTTTTTGTTTTTAATCATTTCACCCCAAATATGGCAATAAAACCACAAAGATACAAAGGATTACTGAGAGTTAAACAATATGAGAAAAAAAAAACATTACTAAGGAGAGAGAACAATAAAGAACAGGAATTTAGAAGACAGAAGATAACATTACATTTAAATTTTTGACTGGAAAGCCAGAAGCCAGAAGAGAGTTCCAAATGCGATGGAAGAAATTATTAGCATAGAACTTACGGTTACATCTAGCCATTTCAATTGTAAGCTTAGAAGACAAGATAAACTTGTTATGCTTTTATTTTTGGGTTCATCTAAGATATAAATAAGTAACGTTTTTGGAAGTTTTTTTTTTATTTACCTGACCTCCCCAGAAAGGTAGGTTGTGGGATAAGACCTTTTTTTTTTTTTTTTAAAAAAAAAAAAAAAAAATATGTGGTGTCCATATATAGGCCAAGTGCAAAAATTGCCCAATCCCTGCAACTCTACTAGCATCGATATTACATCAACCCTACTATCTTTCTTAGTTCAATGAGGATGGTGCTGAATCAAAGGTCTTCTCTGTAAAATAATGAGAACAGATACTACGCATTGATCCTGGCCCAAAAACTGAGATACGTTTATTTACCTGACGTTTCCAATAAGACAGATTGTGGCACAAGGACGTTTTTTGATGTGAGGTGCGCTCATACATGCGTATGGGGCAATGACAA